TCTGGGAGATATTCGTATTTATCGAGGAGTAGTTCAGATGATCGACATAAATTGCATTCCTATGATTCTAACATGAATTCAGCATCGTATAGGAGGTGCCAACTGCCTGTGCGAGAATCATGCTCAAGCTATGGGGACTAGAACAAAACGGTTATTTACAAATTGCTGTTATGTTTGATTATGTTCAGCTATGCTCGTGTGTGTATTGAACTGATGTCATTCGGTCTTGGTGTATACGTTGTACATGTGTGTACAAAGCAATTGTGAGGCTTGTAACAATTCACCCCCCTGGGATCTGATGGATTGTCATGACGGTGGTTTGCGATTCAATACAAGAAGCAGTTCCATTTTGCCTCATTTAAATTGCCATCTCATTTGTATTGTTTAATGGTGTTTTATCTCTTTTTACACAGTTTGTTTACTCCACTATCCAAAATGTAACATTGCCATATAATTTGCAAACAATTGATTCTCAGAACCATGAGTTGATGCATGTAAACCGAGTATATGCATCATCGCAGACCTATGAAATGCTCAATGACATATATTCGAAATTCACATAGCATACAATAATCTGGTACTGTCAACAATTTGTTGGATATATTCGAAAATCAACAGCTGCGTTGTATACATTCGACGCTTCATTACACTACACACCCACACACGTCACATACACGCCATGCATGTTAGGGTGGACATCTTCACATCCATCATTCCAGAGTGTTAAGGCAATCATGAATTCTCTCGTTTTGATGGCTATTAATCTGGCACATGCAATTTCAGCTTTAGAGCCTCGTAGAGAAGAAAGATCGGCACCCCTCTCATCGGGCCAGGGGACAATCATAGGACAAGGTGTTTTTGAATTCCATATCGTTGCAAGCAATGTTTGACCCATGGTAAAGCACGAGAAGGGGACTCGAGTCAAGGATGTCATGTATCGAACAAAAGAGAGGAATGGGAAAGGGTGGGTAGAAGATAAAGGATGGTAACTAAAAGGAAAGGGATGGAAAATGAATGGAAACGTGGGAGCAAAGGGTCAGGAAAGGTGAGGATAGGGAGGAAGGGACCACATAAGGAACTTGGCGATGCTGCACGTAGCAACGTCCGTTTTCAAAGGGGGCGGGAAGAAGGTTTCACAGTGAGGATGGTCACACAGAAGTCACGTGGTTTACGGGCGGCTTGAGCTGGTTTAGATATTATATAGATGTTTGTCTACATGGCCACATTGTGGTGGTCGTGGTGGTGGTATATATTCTATGATGGAGGGTCAGGATTAATTAGAAACCACTATGTGGGAATAATTGATATTTGCTCGTAAAAAATCACTGCATTGTTTAACTTTTCACAAAATAAAAATTTGATTTAAAGTTTTCGTGACTGCAGGGATTTATATTCTTGGTTCTTTCGGTAAAGTGACGTAGAAGGGAAATAATAAAATAATACAAATAATACAATTAAAAAAATATTTAAATGAATAATTGTACAAGAAATGTGTATTTAATGCCAGTCAGACATCACTCTATAGCGCATGCATGTATAGTCTGTGATGATGCAATTGTTGTATGCGAAATGTAAGCTTGTATTGGGGAAGTGTTCATCTCGCAGCAGATTGCCAAGGTGCTGTTGAGTCAGTAAACCAATGAATACGATGAATGCAATCGTATCAACCCATTTACATCTCATGAAATGACATCCGATTTAAATGATACATATTTTAAAATTGGCACCCAGGATAAAAAATACGTAACTACTCGTAATAATATGCACGATTTGGCAATAATGTATTGGTACATAGAAATCAAATTATACATTGTAAAATTACAAATCCAATTTGACAAGACAAAGGAATAATGGGCTGGCTGTTGGTTAAATCAAACACAACACATAAATTTAAGGAATAACCTGTGCTTTGTACCAAGTGATGAAAAGTACGTACAGCGCGGTTGGCTACATACGAAAGATGTTCAACATGCATACGTACAATATACGACGGTAGTGGTGTAAATTTAGGTCGCCGTTTGTAGTCTGTGAACATCGTTAGTTTCATGAGAATTTGACCCGAAGAGGACCCAGAGATTCCAGCACACAGGCCACTGGGCTGGCTTGGCAGCCCAGGAAATGGGCCACTCGTGTTGTCACTCGTGTTGCCTGGTTCAGCAGCATGGCCCAGATCCGTGCCCGTGGGGTCACTCCCCTCCCCACCAACTCCCTCCACACATTTTTAAAGAATGTTCTTAAAATGGAAGGAAAAGTAAAATATATATTTTTGAAAACTAACTTTGTTAAAAAATAATAAAGGTTACAAGAAGGGTGCTCCCCAAGTATCGTAACAACATCATTGCCATGGTGATATTTATTGCATGGCAGTCGACATGCCCAATATGAAAATAACTGTTGTGTAGACGTTCCGTTAATGTTGTTGAATACGGCTTTCCATCAATTGATGAAACTCTTCATTACAAATACTCTTCACTGGATCATTTCACAGAACAAGTTCCGATTTCAATTTAGTTTAACAAATGAGTTGTTGAATGATCGAGCGTGCGACTTAAATGTCTTCTTTAGGAAAACATTTTTTACGGCTTGTCTTTCTTGCATTTGATTTTGGAAGAGTACTCTGTCCTGCTTTTGTCTGCCTTTCTACTTCATTATTTGATCCCGATTTGTTCTCCAAACTCGTTCTAGGTATACCACATATTCTGTAGTAGGTGACTTTTACAAGCATAGACCCATTGCATATTCAGTGTTTTCCTTTAACATGCTGCTCAACCCTAACCCATTGGTGGAAATGTCACATTTACCCTCGTGCAGGCCAAGAGTGGTGCTCGCTTCAGGTACCCAGAGGTGCAAGGTACAATGGGGGTATGCTGCAATCCTAGACCCGTGTTTGAACTTACAACCTTCCAAATGTCAAGTGCAGCAACCACGCACGTCACAACCGCAGCAATACAAGAATAATGATTTACAGCCTTTGTCAAGCCATTGCTGGATGAGGCCCTCCCCATATTGTGCCAGTTATGCGGTGACTTTAGCCACACTTCACCACGCTGCTCAGTGTGGATTGGTGAGGTGGGGGGGGGGGGGGTCAGAACTGGTTCAGATGTCACTCGCCACTGATGTTATCCTCGATCGGAGATCGAACTCGGGTAACTTTGTTGATAGTGATGTGCGTTAACCGCCGCTGTGTCACCGCTCAGCCACCACCCACCACTACCCCATCCCTCTTAACGACACCTTACCTGAACGTTTATGATCATGTAAACAGTGCTTATGCAGCGCAACGTGTAATGGAAGACATTACAATGTAAACATTTTCAAACCAAACAACTAATTGTATGCTATCTAAACTAACGAGGCATGTAGGAAGAGCAGCCCTACTACTATAAGAGAAATGGAACTTGTGAATAGCAAACTGTGAGCATCTAAAAAAACGACCGTGCAATCAAAGCAACCCTTAAGGCAGATATGTACAAGAGGCGTATAACAACATCTCCGCACGTCCCCTGGGTGTCTGTGATCTCCTCAGAGTCGTTTTCCAAGACGGTATATGCCATGGCATGTCAGTCTCAAGTGCCACGTTGCATGCAACACACATAAAACTTGAATGCAACAAAGTATGTTGTACGCAACAAAGAAAACAAATTATTTGTGGATAAATTGTCACACTGCAATATTATGGCATTGCGAAAATGCTTCCTTTTACCAAGAAATGGAACAATTTCCACAGTAAAATACATTGACATTATAAGAAATAGGCTGCAAAGTAGGGATGCGTGCTGATATACGACTTTGGAAAGGTTAAATATCCATGATAAAGGGAACGCCACGTTATAATGCTAGTAATCAATGTATTTGTGCAACTGCCATGGTCGAATCTGCACTGCCCTCTGCCCATATTCTCGATTTTTCTACAGCCGCTGGTGCAGAGAAGATGTCGAGGGACTTCACTTATTATCCACACAAAGTAAAGCCAACAAGTAATTTAAACCGGTACTGTGTCGTGTGTGAAAGCAATATCAATCTTTTGCTTGTGCATATGCTTTGGATATGGGAAACCACAGAAAACCCAGCAATGAATTGCAATACAATTTGCAAGCAATCAGCCTGAGTCAATTGTGGAACTCAAGTGTTTTTGTCATATTACCCATATTAACCATAGCCAGGAATGCGATCCATACCCAGCAGGCCGATCCATACCTAGAAGGCTAATCAATCATCTTCGATTGCATCACTACAACCATTGTGTTATTTTGTCCAGCGAATGTGTGCACTATTTGTTTTGCTCACATTTATTTTCAGCCTCACTTTGTAGCCTCTTCTTTTAAGACCTTCAATTGTTTACTGTAATTCATTACCGCTGGTTCTCATAGGGAACACTAGCAAATTTGAGATGGTCAACGCTTTGGCCATTTCTTTAATGCCTTAATTTCTCAATCCAACGTTGGGAACATATTTCTCAGTGTCCCCCAAGAAAAGCCTCGATGATGCGTACATTAATGGCATTAGCCATGATGACCCCTTGACCTTGATGGCACTGTGGCAGAGTGGCCGACTCGCTGGCAGCAAGGTTGTGAATACAAATCCCAGGTGACCAGTGAGTGGTTCTAAAATAGATAGGCCCAGTCCTCGAACTGATTTATTACCAGAGCTGTCGAGAGGGGAGGGGGAGAGGTGCGGACCTGTGCGGGGAATTTTGCCGTGGGCCTCACACAAAAGAGGGCCTCAATAACAACCTTGTGGCTGGTGGAATAAGGCGGCCCCACGTGGCATCCTGCCCGAGCCCTCCAGGGGCCTATGTGCATCCCTGATGACTGCTAATGACACGAAGCCAATTGTTGCTTCCACCCAGCTTTGTTCATTTCAACATCCCAATGCTCCTTTTGCACTCCACTGATGTCACCGCGTAGCCCCTTGGGTCACGGTTAGCTCACATGAGGTTAAATGCCACGCGTTTCTCTAACCCTGTGGCTTCAACCAAAGCTATTAGACGTGTGACTTACAGTTCTTGCAGTAGCGGCAGGTGGCTGAATGCAAACGGCTTCAGTGACGTCAGGTTGTTCATGCTCAGGTCTCTGCAAAGGGACAAGAAGCACAGCAGATTTAGTTCTCATGACTGTAATCGATTAGTAATACGTGTCCATGCTTACAAACTCATTGGATAGGTAATGGTATAATGCCAAATGAATGTACAATGTGTCGTGAAACTACCAACAAAACCTCAATAACACGTTGTTTTACAAATCCTAAATAGGAATTATTGTATAGCAAATGTGACATTCTACTACGAGTATATGTATGCAACTTTACATCTTACAGGGAAACGGCATGGCAGCAAAGGCAGATTGCACACCTCTCAGTTCAGCATTCTACACTTTCAAGCGAAATGCATGGTAGGTGCCACACTTACTGAAGCAATGCAATTCAGCAGGTTGTCTGACAGGAGATGTCCAATTATGAGCAATGAACTCCTGTAATATACGTGCCATCCTGTCGACGTTTTCAAGTCCAGAGCTCTGTTTAATTATGTTATAATTTCACAATCAACATTGTTCTTTGTGTCATTATATATACCATAAGAGTTTAGCAAAATGAACAATTTGCTTTTATTGTATATGCTCAAATGTAATTACGTGGATTGCTCGACGTGTTCTGATTGGTGTAGAAATCAAATATTCTTTGTTGGTGGGGGTGGGTAAAACTTGACCGCTTTATGAGCACGTTGCATCGTAATACCATCGATCAAAACGTAGCCACTGGAAATGCACGTCAGTAGCAAAGCGTACCAGAGTTTGAGTCTAGAAACCCGTAATACTCTATAACGCAGCCGAAAATCAGTGCCTGGAAATATTCGCTTGCCAACATCAGCCGTCAAACCACAAAGGTGGATTGTTTTCTGATCCATTGCCCACTCATGTTCTGTGAGTAGGTAGCCAGTTTCACCCACCAAAAAGTACCTATTAAAAAGGACATTAGATAAGGATATGCACTATTCGAGCGTTAAATCATGAGCTATAATCTAGATTGACGGAGAGTTATCTGTTACAATCTACCCTGGGTCAGACTAGTGTGGCATAGGCAGTGCAGTATTTATGACACAGTTTGATTGAATTGCTGTGTGTTGAACTTCATTCGCAACATACGATGCCGACTGGGCTAACCGAGAACCAAGGCAGAAGATTTGAGGACATTTTCAGAGCTGATACTTTTTTTTCACGCTCATTCATTTCACGCAAGTTTCAAAATGCAATGCTAATGTTTTGTTTTTTATATACATAATGGAAAATGTTCCCCTTGCCTGGGATTACATTGGGGGTGTCTTAATTTCTTCCTTCCACCTCTTTCAAGGTGAACATTGTTTGCTCAGCAAACTTTAGCTATGGTCAGTACAAGCAACGCCAGCTCCTGAGCAATAAATCACAGCGTTTAGGAAGCTGGTAAAACCCTTTCACACACCTTTTGGTTACGTGAGGGTGTTTGTTTAACCCCATTATGTTGATTGATTTACGACTGGAAGTTTTCATTATCTTAAAAAAAGTGGAATTTTCACAGTTTATTAACTTTTAACATCGATAAACAGGCAGCAGCTGTTTTGCTGGAGAGACAATGTTGGGATTTACTACGTCAAATCGTCGAATGATCTTGACATTAACGTCATTAAATGTACACAAAGAAATGTGCCACCATAACAACAAAAGCCATTCAAGTTATGGTCATTCTCACACATGTAGCAATCTCCACAATTACACAGTTGCGCTTACAGAGGCGATAAGACTCATGGCACTGTCGTGACAACGAACAGTTAACACTTGTGCAAGCTATACGACCCTTTCTTAACTAAAGTTAAGATAATTTAAGTGGTTTGTGGTTTCTCTAAATTACGATGCTATAACTCAAGATGTCAGCGAGGCGACAGCCGTTGGCCGCGCTTGTTTTTAAAAGTTTGAATGCCGTAACTTTGAAAGACACGCATGTTACCTGTTTCTTGGAAAGATACTGTACTGTGGTTGAGTGAATGACTTGCACCTCGGGTTTAAGACATTGCAAGCAGCGTATCTCATTTCAATGGGGGACCCTGCTTGTATCGTAATCTAGACTGGTCAAATATGTTTTAAATGTACCCCCACTACAAGAGATCAATCAATTGCAGTCGCAGTATGAAGCGCACGTTCTTCGATTGTTGGGTGGGAGCAGCTAAAAGAGTGAATGGAGCAAGTTGTCTATGAATTCTGGTTTCTCTGGATTGAGAGTGCAGTGTCCATACTGAAACACACTGCAAAGTGTATATACCTCTGAAAAAGCAGTACATATCCGTACATTTCTCGGAACGTAACACTTGTTGTCTTGTGGACAGACTGTCCCCTGTCATAGGAACGTGGAATGTGTGACCACTGGCTCTGTGCCGCCAACAGCGGTGAGCACCATCCCTCCCTATTCCTCTTGCGAAAGACTAATTTAGGATGCCCATAGGTGAATATCAAAACAGTCGTAACAGTCGAACACTGAAAGCAACGTCTGTTTACACACGTCACGTGTCGGTGACTGCAAGCTCGGCTTTAAAAAGTGACAAGTCAAAACTTGAAATGTCGCATTTTCAATGTTATGAAGCAACGCGCGGAACATGTTGCTCCCTCGTTCAATGCCGAGCATCTCTTTGAATTTGATGGCAATGAGGCTTTATAAATAGTGTGTCCGGATGGTTGGATTCCAGCCTATCCGGTTTGAACGTTGCCTGAAGGGGCAGAGAGACAGCCACTTCAAAGGCGCCGCCGCCGCCAAAAGCAAAAGGGGGGCGGGGGGGGCATGCGAGTTCTCACTTTTGTTTGCCACCGGGCGAGGCTCGGCGCAGTGTATCCACTTTGCTTCACTCGCGCATAAAACGAAGCACATTACCGACTTAACAAGTGCTCGTGACGGTTAGGCAGCGATCACGGCGCACAGTGACGGGATCGCACACGAACCGGCTTCGTTAGGGAAGGGGGTAGGTGGGGGCTCTGTGAATTGCATGGAGGGCAAAATTTTTGTTGAGGTTATGCTAGCGGGACGGACGTGCAAGCGGGAATTTTTTTCCTCTTTAAATTCTCGCACGGTTTCATGCACGAGTCTTTGTGGTCATGTTATTGCAGAGCGCATGTGCCTTCTTGGAAATGCAACGCCGATACGTTCCGATCGGCGAAGTAATTTTTTTAAACCAAATTACCAACGGATTTACATTTTATAGCTAAACTTAATGGTGTAATATCGTTTGTAAAATAATCATGTTATACGACAGCCAAAGTCATTATCTGGGTCTTTCGATAAAGTCACGTAGATAGGTTCAAAGAAAAATAACAAAAAAACCACAACACAGAAGGAAAACAGACGATCGCTTGTGTTGTGATCGAAACGTCGTAGTTTTTTTGTTATTTTTTTGTTATTTTCTTTGAACCTATCTACGTGACTTTACCGAAAGACCCACATAATATGAATTCCTGTAGTCACGAAAGCTTTAAGTCAACATTTAAAGCCATTCTCGGGGCTTATATAATAATATATAATAACAAGTGGTAATACGGCGTTTCACCGTGTGAATATGGAAATGACAAACATTTTCTGGAGCAAAATTCACGTGGTAAATAGTTTTATATGAATACAAATGCAGTGGCAATTAAGCTCACCACGTTACCTATTGCTGTATTGGACATTCAAACTACTCAAACACCACTCAATTCCATTATGAGCCATGAGACGTTAGTGGTGGAAATTCCACATTCCCATGGCATGGGCATTTCTATCTAACAATCTGTGTTGGGTTGCCATAATGCAATGTTTTTTTTTTTATCAAGCAAGCACGGTATGATTGCCTGGGTTGGAAACAAGTGATAATTCTGTGTCTTACGGTTTGGATATGGATATGACGAACATTTCCTGGAGCAAAATTCACATGGATTACTTTTTCTGGCGACAAATAGCCAATCGGCGTAGGATGCCTTAGGACATTTTGCATTCCCTTTACTAATTTACCCTTACAGTACATTAATTACCTTTTACAATCACTTTGAAATGCGTTGCACATGGCCGCATGCCATGTAAATGTGCAAAAGGTTCGTGATTTATTTTACAAATTACAAACCTAAGACTTAAGCTAATTTGAAACCCCATATGTACGTTCGTATGTATCTACTTTCACAGGATGTGTGCTGAAGTAAGGCATTACTCTGAAATCTTGGAAACTAGGGATGTTGTCGTGTTATGCAAAAAAAAAACCTGCACTTGCAATCCAGAGATTACTGGTTCAATCTCCCGGCAGTTACAGTTGAAACAATGGGGCAAGTTTCTTAAATTGATTCACCAAAGTCAGTCAATCGGCAGGCCGGGTATCGTGGAGAAAAGTGTGGGTACTGCCACCTCATCCAAGACGTGCGGTCAATGTGGAAGAGGAGGGAAAACGCATCTTATAGAGCGACTCTCTCATGGTGCTTCTGCCAGCAAGCAATTCCAGGGCTGTACCTCAGCCTTGGAACCTAAATTATTAGCAGCGTGCGTTGGGCTGTGAGTCATTTAATATTCTGTTTCGTATTGACAAATTTTACTTTCATATGTTAAATGCGTACTGTATTCTTATAGCAGATAAACAGGAAAAACCTGAGTCTTCTCAACAAGAGCAGCAACTATTCCCGTTTTTATAATTTTTTAATCAATAAACATGCGTGTGCCCACTGGCAAAAGGAATTGCATTGTCTGTACGCACATTCTGTTCATAGTAAACTGCAGTAACTATACTGTGCATCTTATATCGGGAATATGGACACGCGGTGCAGAGAATACACAGTGCATGATACAGACTCTACAGAGGTCCCAGCTTGGCAGATAAACCATTGGGCAAATTTCTGAAATCCCCTCCGCTACCCACGGCTGATGTATGGGTTCACCACAGTGAGTCAATCGGGAGTTCTCACGTGTTGGGGTAAAATGTTGTGGGCATTCCCACTTCTTCCAAAGTGTCTGGCTATCAAGGAAGAGGAGGCCAAGTATTTTCTCGGGGTGGGGGCATGCCATTATGCCAGCAGGGCTTTGCCTTTACCCTTTGTTTACA